CTGGAGATGCTGTGGGGCCACAGGAAGGGAAAGGGAACAGGGTCCACTGGCACCGTGCCTGAAACGCCGCAGGGGTGGAGTGAACCCCCCCGGCGGTGGTGTATGGGGTGAAGCACACGCACACCCCCACTCTGCCACGACCACTCAGTGACAGCAGTAACAAGTACTTGCCAGGCACATTTCAGTCCATGAACCAATCTTCCCCACACATTGCCTTAGTAAATCCTTGTGATGTCCCAGTGAGGAAGGAACTGTCTCTCCCGTTTTACAGGAAGGACACTGATGCTTCATGCAGTGAGCAGCTTGCCCAAGGTCGTGCGGCAGTCAGCGGCCCAGCCAGGAAGCAAAACAGGGCATTCAGAGTCCATGTCTATTCCAACAGTGTTTTCAAGGTCCTCACGGCTGAGAAATTTCAGAAAACCCCAGCGGGAGAAGGCTGGGGTTCAGAATAATAAAAACAAACCAGGAAAAAGGAGGAAATGCTGGAAAAAAGAAGGCACTCAACCCCCAGAGTGCCCCAAAAATGTGGAGGGCTGAGCCCGGCTGGGAGGCACCACTCAACAGCTGTGAAGAGGGGGAGGGTACAGGAGAAGCCGACTGCTGACCACTGCCCTCGCAGGGAGGACGCGAGGCCAGGCTGTCAGGGACAGCTACGGTCTGCGCTGTGAAAGGTGCGTGTGTCCTTGTCGTGCCTTTGGAAATGGGCAAAAGGGGCAGTTGCCTATCCGGGACGGAAAGTGGCCAGGACAGAGGCCAGAATCTGAGACCACTTAGCTCCTGCTCCTAGGGAAGGGCCAGGAGAGCCCTCTGCTTTACACATGTGGAAACTGAGGCCAGGGGTGGGGGCGGGGGTAAAGGCCTTCCCAGGGTCTCCTAGCACAAACAGGTCTCTCGTCATGAGAATGGTCTCGGGCACAGGGCCCTGAATGAGGAGGAAAGAGGCCACAGGGGCGGCGCTGTGCTCAGGGGCAAGCAGCAGCACACCAAGGCTCGCAGGGGGGCGGCGAGAGCGGGGGCAGGGCCCGGCAAGCAGCCGGATGGGCCCAGAATCACGATCTCCTGGATCTCCAGGACAGGCCCACAGACTGCCTGCCAACGCCTGAGCTGCCTCGGTTTCCCCACCTACAAGCTCAGACAGTAAGGCAGAGAAAACCTATGCAGGTAAATGGGATGCTTACATTGGTTTGTGGCTGACACAGGGGTAGGCAGGCAGGTGAAGCAATTCAGCATTTACTGAACCGACTGTGTGCTAGATACCCCGCCTGTCACTCACATGGAGCATCTCCATGAACTCTCCTGGGCTTTCTGTGAGACAGTGCTGTGGTCCGTACGCAGATGTCCTCCCAAAGTTTCGTGCGCTCATAGGTGGGGCTTCCGGGTGGTGACTGGATCGTGGGTGTGAGGCTCATAGTGGAACTAATTTAGTTCACAGCTAAATGCGATGTGAGGAGGTGAATCCTGGTTGGAGGCGGTGGTCCCCAGGGGCCGGGCGGGAAGGGTCTGCCCCCCTCCTCCCCCCTTGATTTCCGTCTGCCGGGCCACGGGCGACACCCCTCTGCCATGCCCTTCCACCGCGCTGCCCGCCTTTGAGCCAGCCGACCATGGGCCGTGAACTAAAATAAACCTTTCCTCCTTGAAGCTGTGGGTGTCAGGTATTGTGTCTCAGGGAGGAGAAAGTAGATAAGACAGATTTGTGTTTGTTTCTTGTATCAGAGTCAAAAACGCTAAGTTTTAGGGAGACAGAGTAGATTGCATACCTCGTCTGAGAGGGCACGAGGGCTTAAATTCTGCCTAACACCAAAGCCCATGCTCCTCCCAACGCACGCTGCTTCCTCCCTGTAATCCCATCCAGTACACACTGTCGGCTGGGAGAGATTAAGATGCATGCCTAACGCCACACAGCTGATGAGTGGTACGTCCAGAATGGACACCTAGGATTATCTGAATCCAAAGCCCAGGCTCTAGCCCTTAGTACTGCAAATGTGGCCCACAGGCCAGCAGCATCAGTCTCTCTCACATTAGAGACGTTCATCCCGGACCTTCTGGATCAGAAGCCACATGCTGACAACCTCCCAGGAGATTCCTGCACACTTGTGCACGCCACAGTTGTCCACAGCCTGCTGCTCCCTGACGCCTGTAGTGGGCCTCCTCATGATCCTCAAGCCCCTTGCCCAGCTGGCTGGCTGGTGCTCCCTGGGTGAGGTAGGCCTTCTGCTCCCCCTGGGAAAGAAGTCTGGAGCTTCAGCTCGAGACAGGTTCCAGGCTCCTGCAGCCTGCAGGACATCAATCCACATCTGGCTTGGAGGGCATCCTGCCTGATGCCCAAAACTCTCCCGGCCACTCCCTCTTGTCTGCCTCTGGGACATGGCTCTTAGCCCCTGCCTAGGGTACCTCTGAAGGAGGCCTCTGGCCATCACTAGCTCCCAGGGTCCCTCCCCAGACGTCTCCTGCCCCCTTCCCCTCCTAGCATCTTCACTGCATCATGTCGCTCCGGTGTCTGGACACTCAGGGCCCGTCCAAGTTGCCATCAGGAGAGAGCGGCTGCTTGGGAAGCCAGGCCAAGCTCACAGGAAATGTCTGACACCAGCAGGCATGCAGGACTTGGCCTCCCAAAGCAAAACACAGCTGGGCCGACAGCGGTGTGGGCTTGGACTTTCCCAAATTTCATGGCAAGGCGGCCCCAGCGCAGAGAGGGACTAGGCTGGCCCTGAGGCTGCAGCTCATTAAGAACATCACAGTAGCCCCTGGCCAGGAAGCCTGTGAAAGTCAGAGGACGGCCCTGCTGCGGGCCAGAGGCCTCACCCAGCACCTTGGCCCTCCACTGTCTCTTGCAGTCCCCGGAGAACCGGACACTCGCAGCGCACACTCTGCATCTCCAAGCCATTATTCGTGCACTCGGCTTACGCTGGCTGGGCGCCCATCGTGTGCCAGGCGTCGTGTTAACGCGGGGGCGCATCCGTGAACAAGCAGGACGCCGCTGCTGCTCTCTGAGGACTCCCAGGGAGCACATGCACAGGCCACCCCAAGGCACCGTGGAAGTGGTACCTGAGGGGAGCACGGAGTGCCTGCCTGGGAGTCAGCGGGCCTCCCCTTCTCCGGGCCTCTCAGCAGCACACGGGGCGGCACCTGGTTCCATACAGGGCAAGCCTTCAGTGCCAAGCGGGCCCTTTTGCCAAGCTAACTCTGCAGTTTGCAGAAAGCATCAGAAAACAAATGCCTGGGCTGGGGATACAGCTCAGCGGCACAAGCGCCTGCCTGACAAGCGCAAGGTCCTGAGTTCAATTCCCGGTACCCCAAAAAAAAAAGAAAACAAATACGAACTGAGCACCTTCTGGGAGCCACAGGGGAAGGAGCTGAGAGAGTCCCTGCCACCCCAGGCACGGCCACAAAGGCCAGACCCACATGCAGGGCAGAGACCCTCCCGAGGCAGCTCATGCCAGTGAGAAAGTGCTGCCGGGCCAGAGAGCAGTGTGGACAGAATCGGGGGAGGCTTTCTGCGGGAAGCAAACAGGCCCTGCAGGAGTGCGGTGAGCTGGAAGATGGGGTAAGGGCACCCAAGGGCTCTGACTTGGAGGCAAGAGTCAGACCTGCCCAGCAGCGCGCACACACAGGGCAGTGTATTACACAGAGGGAGCAAGTCCCGTGAGCACGGGAGGCCGACCGGAAGGACTGTGCGCCCACCCTGCCCTGGCTGGCCTCACCCCAGCCCACCTCCCTCTGCCCACCGGCTCTGCCGTCTGTGCCGTCCACCTGGCCCCTTGGCTGTGCTCCCTGTCTTTACCCCAGCATCCCGAGGCCTCAGCCAGGCTCTCCCAGGCCTTGATCTGAGTGCATTCTCCCTTCGTCTCTGCTCAGAGCTGCCCTGCCGCGGTGCTCCCGACCTTGGGTCCCACCTCACCAGGACCCTGGTCTCCCTGCCCGCCTCTCAGAGTGGCTGGGCAACTCCACCTCCTTTCCCTGCTCTCCCCAGCTCAGTGTCGCTCCTGGTTGTTCCCGCTAAGGCCCTGTCCTCAAGGCCAGCTTCCTCTCCAGCTTTCTTGTCCTTGGAGAGGGCAAATCCTTTCCCTTTACTTCAGCAAAACAAGGTTGCGACATTTCAGGAAGAGCCTCCTAAGTAGAAGCAAATGGAAAAACCAACTTGAAAACCCCAAAGCAAAACAAAACTCCCTAGAAATGGACCAGTTTACAAAGTTCAGATTTCCTGTCCTGAGCTAGAAAAAAATCTAGCCAGATCGGCCGGCAAGCAGGCTGGGGGCTCCAGTCTGTGGAAGCTCCCTTGTTCACTTCATTCTACTCCCTTCCCTGGGGCTGGGGATTTAGCTCAGCCGCACAGCACCTGCCTGGCAAGTACAAGGTCATGAGTTCGATTCCCAGTACCAGAAGAAAAAAAAAATCTTACTCCCTTCGCTGCATCCCTCTCTTCTTCCCTGCTAAGGAAAGGGGCCAGCTGGTGAGGGGATTGAGGGGCTCTGAGGAGGGGCCTTCCGACTGCCTGCCCTCCTATTTACAGGGCATGAGGAGGAGGAGGAGGAGGAGGAGGAAGAACGATTACAAAGAACCTGTGTGTGCACCGAGCCCTGTTCTAAGCACTTTTCTTATATTAACTAGTTCAGTCCTCTCAACAGTTCCACGATGTAGGTTTTAGCATTGCCCCCCCGTGACTGACAAGCAGAGACACACAGAGGCCAGTGACTTGCCCATGTCCCCCGCCCACGAAGCGGCAAAGCCAGAACTGAAACCAGGAGACCCCAAGGCAGAGACGCGCCTCCTCAGCTTTCTTCTGGGCCGCTGGAGGGGAAAGACTTCACCCCGACACCCACCCTCCATCCAGCCTGGCGCAGGCCCTGCCCACCCGACCCCCACTCCCCTGCCCCACAGCCCTTAAGGGGAGGGGAGGCCAGTGGGAGGAGGAAGGAAGGACAATGCCTGTTCTCCCCACAGCCCTGCGGGCTGCCTCGACAGACATGGAGCCCTGCACCCCCGCTGAGGAAGGGACTTACCTGGCTGCTGGCAGCTGTGGCGCCAGCGGCTGTGTTCTGGCCACAGGGACTTCTCTGGCTGTGCTGCTCCTGCGGAGGTTGGGCGCCCTCTCGGCAGAGCGCCGGGGGGCCAGCCTGGAGCTCTGGGGGTCAAACTCCTCCTCAGGAATGACCTCCTCACAGCGGGCCCCTCGGAAGCCAGAGCGACACACGCAGAGCTGGGGCCGGCTGCAGGAGCCTCGGTTCTGGCAGGGCGGCTGGCACACGGCTGGGGAGACAGCAACAGGGATGACAGCTGGGTCAGGCGCCCCGAGGCCGTGGGCTGCCAGACACCCTCCCGTCAGAAGGGCTTCCTGTCCCGGACAGAGGACTGAGTGCCGCCGGCCCTTCCGTCAAGCGGGCAGCCAAACTCCTGGTCTCAGAAGGTTCCCTGGGCCCGTTTCTCTCTCCCCACCACCCACAGGCCTCTGGGGAAGACTGGCTTTGATTTTAGACAAGTGAAAATGGAATAACCAGAGCGCAGGCTCACACAGCACCTTCGGCAGAGCACCTGACGGGGAGTGAACTGCCTGCCCGCATATCCACACTGACATGTCGACCCCAGGAGGCTGGAAACCCAACCAAAGACGGTTAATTCTGTGCCTCCGGCAGCCCCAGAGTTTAGAAAGCAGACGTCAGAGACCAGATCCTCAATGAACACTGAACGAATGAGAGAGTGAAGGGACGACTAGGGTCTGAGCTGTTGGTTTTCTGTTGCTCGTGACCTGTGTGGCCTGATCTCAGCTCAGATGCCTCTTGGCTCACGAGGAGTGCGCAGAAGCAGCTGGGGGACTCTGAGGGCCTCCCAAAGTCACCTGCAGCACAGCGGCGCTCCCTGTCCTTCTCTTCTGAGAGCACGTCTCTCGGTCCCCTGCCCACCCCAGCAAAGCAGAACTCCTGCCTGGGGACGGAACGGGGCTGCAGCTGGACCCTTCCTCCAAGCCGGCACTGCGTATCAGCCACCAGGCCGAGACTGCTCTCTGCACTGCCCTTCACCACCTTGCAGAGTCCAAAGCCACACCCAGCGAGCGGGCCAAGGGAGTCACATGCAGGCCCGCCCTGGAACCCAAGCCCGGCCAGCGCTCCTGCCAGGGCCTCCCGGGGCCTGGCTCAGATGGGGCGCTCTAGGCTCATGATCTCCATCTGCTATTCACACACTCAGCAAAGAGCCGTCGAGCTCTCCTGAGCTCCAGGCAGTGAGGACAGTGTCTGCCCACACGGGGCTTGCAGTCCAGCAAGGGAGACCAACAGGCAGCAAGAACACGGTGTCCAGCAGTGCCAAGGGCCAGGAAGACAGCTACCCAGGGTGACGGTGCTGCAGGTCTCCCGAGGGGGTGGGCAGGCCCTCTCTGAAGGCTGAGGCGGGAGTGGTGCAAATGGGGTGCACTGGGGACACCCAGACAGACTCCCAGGCAGAAGGCCGGGCAAGCACAAAGCCCTGGAGGCTCAAGGGACCCGGGGAGGCTGGCGTCTGGTGGGGGAGGGAGGAGTAGGCAAGGTCATTCAAGGGCACCAAGAGAGTGACGCAAAGGCACCAACCCTGCTGCCTCAGGTCTTTGAGGTTTATTTGTGAAAATACCAGGCACCCTTACCCAGACTAGGTCTCGTCTGGGTTTGTGTTGGCTGAACTCTCATTTCTGGGAGGAGTACTAGAATTCAGACCAGAGGCTGCTCTGGACAAATCACCTCAGAACTCCACCTGGCCCAAGTCACTTCCCTTGCGGAGACCCCAGTGGCTCCCTGGCGCTCCTGAACCCAACCCCTCACAGCTTCCTGTCAACCTGCCCTGGCTGAACCGGCTTCTGCCCCGAAGTGGCCTCCACTCTTTCTTCTTTCTGCCTTTGCACGTGCTGTGTCCCCCCCTGGAACGTTTCCCCTCCTGTCCACCAACCTGAGTGCTGTCATTTCCTCAGGGCTGCCTCCCCGAGGACCCTCCTCTCACCAGCTGCTCCCCCTGTGAACAAGGAAAGCTCTTCCTGTAAGCACCATGCACCGGCCGTCCCCCAGGTGCCGCCACCAGCGCGATGGGCTTCCTGTGTGTGTCAGTGTCCCGGCTCACGGGGCAGGGCCCTTAGCAGCGGCTGTCCTTACATCTCTGTACCTTCAGCTCCTGCCCGACTCTAACACAGTCATTGTGTTTCCATGGTGAAAGCTCCTGTCCGCGAGTGCTGATGAGACATGAGACACAGTGCCCTGTGCAGAGAACGTCTCTGGAAGCTGAGAAAGGTGAGGAGACTTGGGGCAGGTCACCCGCTTGGCAGATGGTGGAGCTAGGATTCAAACCCAGGTCTGTGTGACTGAAAACCCCAGTCAATGGGCTGTCTGTACCCCAATGACTCTCAGCAGGGCTAGTACAGTTCCTCCTGGCTGCCATCTCTGAGCCTTGTCCTGGAGCTGACAAAAGAGACCCACTGGCTTAGCCACCAAATGTGCCCTTGGCAACTCTGCACTGGGAAACTACACATCTCACTCAGGCCTGCTGGTGGAAACCCCAGATCTCCATGAACCCCAGAACCCCTTGCCTCTCCAGAGCCTGCACAGTAAATTTTAGATGACGAGGGGACCAGCTCATGCATTCATTCAATGATCATTCTTAGCACACTCTCTAGCTGAGGCTTGCAGTAGTGTCCCTAGCACATAGAAAACAGGATGAGTGCTGTATCCACCAGAACCTCTAACCCAGGCTGGTCAAGGAGCAGAGAAAGTCAGAGAAGTCTTTCTGGAGGGGGCGATACTGACCAGGACCCAAAGGATGAGTAGGTCAGACACTGTGCCCGCCAAGCATGCCCAAGGACCAACCACTCGGCCAGCAGAGACGGGCACATGGCAGCTCTCACTGTAGGAGTCCAAGGCTAGGACCCCAAGGCAGGGCATCTTCCCCCGGCCCCCCGGGAAGCAGGTCATTGTAACCAGAGCACTTCCCCTAACGCACCACGCAGGAGGAGGATCTCTTGCCTGGCCACCATTCCATGTGCCCAAGCAGACTTTCCCTCTACCTGACCACCAGCCTGGCCTTTGTCACCACCCCCCCCACCAGAGACACAGCCAGCCACGGCCCGCCCAGCAGTCCAAGCAGGGCTCCAGAACACGGAGATGGCAGATGTGCCCGGGACAGCTCTTGGCCTTGGCATTCTTTTAGCAGGAGAGAAGCGAGGGAAGGCCTGAATGGACGCACATCTCTACCAGCACGCGTGAGAGAAGGCTCACCCCGTAGGTAGAAATCAGGCTAGCTTCCACCCTCCCCTCCTGAGCTCCACGCATGGCCCAGCCTCGGCTTTCGCAGTAAGATCTCTCCCTCGTTCTCTGGAAGCCTCAGGCTCCCACGCCTGCCAGCTGAGGCCTGTGCCTCGCTCCGACCCGCGCAGACCTGGCCCTGCCTCACTTGCTAATCGTCCCACTAACATCAACGAGCCCCTCCCTCAGGCTGGCCGGGAACGGTGGGCACAGAGACGAGCAAGACCCCTCCCCACGCCCGTGGAAGGCCGGGAACCAGGAAGGAATTTGGTCCTCAGTGCAGACTTGGGTTGGCACAGCGAACAGCTGCAGGGAAAACTCTGGGAAGGGCATTTTATACACGTCTGTCACATCGTGGCAACGAAAATTCTAAAAGGCTTCTCAAGTAGCTGGATGTTCTGGTGGAGAAACACCCGCTTGGATGGTACCCTTGCAGGGTCAGCCATAGAAAGCCAGCTCCTCCAAGTCTTGGGTTTTCAGAAGTTTTCAAGCCGCTCTCACCACGTTACCTGCATCCTGCTCTGTGTGTTTTTCACAAGTCTCAGCAAGATGCAGGGTTCCTGACTTCCTCACTGAGGGATTACACATTTTACTCCAGGCTGAGCGTATGCAAATGAACTGCGGTGCAAGCTCTTCGTTTCTCTCTCCACTTCTGCAAACAGTCACCCCCAGTCGGCCCACAAGGATGCCTCCAACTGCGTAAGACAGGGAGTAGTCTGACAATTTTTACTGCTGTGCCATAAAATAAAGAAAATAAATTCACCTTCCTGATTTTTTTGTAATACTATTTTTCCAATTTAAAAGTGTGTCTTTTGGGAGGAAGGAGAGTTAAAACACTCTTCTTAAAGGTGACGGCATGTGGTGGCTGCGTTTTCTTTCCCTAACATCCTCCCTTGGAAAATGAACAGCTGGCCACTGTGCGCTGGCACTCGAGAACTTTACAATATATCTTAATGCAGAAAATTGACACTGTACTGGGCGTGGTGGCACATGCCCGTAATCCTGGTATGTGGCAGGCTGAGGCTGGAGAATCACAAATCCAAGTCCAGCCTAGGCAAGTTAGCAAGACCAGTTCTCAGAACAAAACCTTTAGAAAAGAGGCTGGGGATGTAGCTCAGCTCCTGGGTTCAATTCCTAATATCACTGCCAAGAGAAAGAAAGAAAGAGAGAGAGAGACGGTAGGAAGGAAAGAGGAAGGGAAGGGAGGGGATGGGGAGGGAGGGAAGAGAAGGGAACAGAAGGGAAGGGAAGGGAAGGGAAGGGAAGGGAAGGGAAGGAGGGGATGGGGAGGGAGAAGGAGGGGACTTAGCACTTGGGGAGGAAGGGAGGGACAAGAAGGGTTGTATGTCCTTTTCCCTAAAGGAGACTGAAGCAAAGCATCACAATGTCAGCTAAGCGCAGATTTCAAAATCTAAGCATCAGGAAGAAATTGGCGGTCTCAGAGTCACCACGGGAGGGGCTGCTGCACAAAGCAAAGGGGTTGCTGCTGAGCGCCCGGAGAGGGAGAGGCAGCTCCGTGCAGTGCTGTGGGACTGTAAGAGAGACAACCTCCAGCCACGGCGGGCCAGGAAGCCTTCACCCCCTGACGGTTCCTAAGGAGCAGAGCTCACACCGTGTACTGGAGAAATCGGTCCGGCATGAGTTGCACGGGCCTGACCAGTGTTCACTGGTTGACTGTGGGTGAGAGGCCACCAGCGTGGTGCCCTGGTGTCCGCGTGCGGCCCTCCAGGGTTGATCTTCACTAGGAAGAACACATCCCAGCCCCTCCCTGCCAGACGACTGCGTCCTCAGACACCCTCTGCACTGTCACCCATCGCCCTGTGCCCTCTTCCCAATGCCAGGCTGCTGTGCATCCTCTGGGCCCTGCTGGAAGGAGCCCTGCCTCCCCTGGCCTTGTCTTCTTCATTGAGCACTGGAGACGTGCGGAGTTCAGCTCTGTGGAGTTAACGGGTGCCAAGAAAGGGAGGGAGGAGAGAAAACTCCTAAAATCGCTTT